CGAATTAAGTTCATAAACCGAGGTTCCACTGTAATTGGTTCTGGAATGTTTTAAAATTTTCTTAGTTGTGCTGATTACTTGGTGGAGTAGAAACACAAAGAATAAATAAATAGAATAAGACTTGGGAGCAGGTAGTTGCAGTAGAATAGAAACAAAAACCAATACCTTTTCAATTTCTGCTTTCTGAATACCTGAAAAAGGTGCTCTTTAAAACAAATATCTTAAGGTGCTTAGTTCTTGGTTCTTGAAGCTGTGTATGGACCTTTCTTTTAAAGGGTGCTACTGCATAACAGATTCCAGGAGAATCTTATTACTTTGAAGCATAATGTCAGTTGCAAAACTGGATTACGCATCTAAGTTTTAAACACATTCTGTGTAGTTTTTCTAAGGACTGCACTTTTATACTTTATGTTACAGGGCATGGATAATGATGCTCTTGAGAAGAAATATAATACTTTGGGTGTTGATATAATTCAGACTCATCAGGTATTTTGTCATGAAGTTCTCAAATTGCTTCCTGGGGAAATGGCTGTTGTTATCAATGGAAGGGTAAGTAAAGAATGGGTAGATGGCATTTTATTGTTGGGTTGTTTTGTTTTATTTAAATGTATCTGAAAAGAAATGCAAGTGTATTGTCATGCCCTGTTTAGTGAGGAAGAAGCGAGGAAATGCATTTCTAATTCATAGTTCCCTGTGGGCTCCAGGATGATACTTTCAGTCCTTTGGGACAGAGTTTCCTCCTTGGATTAAGAGACATGATCCAGCATTTTTTCTCCTCTAGTCTTTCAGACCAGAAGGCTCACACTTTTTATCCTTCGTACACCCACTCCTCATTTAGCGACCACAGTACATGTTCTGTTCCAGTGACAAGGTTATTAAAACAGTTGCTAAGTGAACAAATGACACTTTAAAACGAGACACTGTGAATATCACTGGTTGCCACCGCCTTGTTCAGATAAAGTTCTCTTCTACAGCTATTCCAGCGTTACTCTCATTCCGGTGTGCGTTGATGTCAGGTGTGTGAAAATTGGTTGTAAATGTGTGCATTGGTTGGAAAATGATTTTTTAATTATCATTTATTACCATCGTATTTGCAGTCATTAAATGAGGAATGGGTGTAATTCCAAACTTCAGTGGATTGCCATCATTGGTTGGAAGGGAAACTCCAGCCCAGCTAAGTCCTTTGTCTCCACTGGAAAGAGGTCTAGTGCAGAAGCAGCCAGCAGGGCAGAGGGGAGGCAGTCGTGGTACAGCTCTGCTTCTGATTACCTCATCACGTCACAGGACAGGACAGAGATGTGGTAATGGCCGCATCGTTTGACATGCAGTGATCATATAGGAGGCAAAACATCTCTCTCGAGCAGCATGGGATCCCATTCGACAGGCAGTTTGCTTGCCCAGCACCACAGTTAGGTAATGGCTGCAGATAAAGGGCCTAATTGGCATGTGCGGGCTCTGCCTTCTTGCTGTTCTTGTTCAGGGTCTTGTGCGAAAAAAGAAGCTCAGATGCCCAAGGAGGAAAGATAGAGTGGAACAAGCCACCTCTTATGGGAGATCCTTTCCATTATCCTTTTCCTCCAAAAATTAAACAGTGCCCCAGTGCAAACTGACAGGGCTAATACCTAAAAAAACCTTGAAGCACATTTGGATCTGGAAGCTATGGAAGAAAAATGAATTGGAACAGGAGGAATTCTTGGAGAAAAATGGATTTTCCTACTCTCTGCCTTGTTGGGCTTTTCTTCTACCTTTCAGTAAGACATAAGCACTTTTGCCCACATCCTGAACTCACCAGGTTCAGAATGGTATTATACATTTTACCCCTGACTACCATTGAAAACTCTTGGGAAATTTCAGTTGTTACAGAACATGTGAAAAACTGCTACCTGATGCTTATAGCAGAGAATGTTTCATGCCAGCCTCACTAGTTCTCAGTCACTTTCTGGGCAAAAGTCAGCATGCTTGTAAAGCAAAGCATGACATTCTGAATTGTGTCAATTTCTGTTGTGCAGATCTTAGGCCCCTTAAAAGAAGATGAATTAAATACCGAAGACTTTGATTTGTTGGAGAAGATAACTCTAAATACAGCAGCTGCAAAGATTAAAACACTTGTCAAGGAAATGGGTGTTGACAATAAACGGTAACATTTATTGTGGAGGGTGGAGGGAATTGTAATGAAGCACATTTTGCAGAAGTTTTGCAGTCTATAAGGGACACCGGATTTTCCTCATCTGACAAGAGCAGTGCAGAACAACTGTGGAATGATTTCCTATCTTTTTTTTAATGCTCCAGTGTCCTTTTTTAAAAATGGCATTCATAGAAAAGCATTATATATTTGTCTATATCAGAATGGTTGACATTAGAAAGGGGTATTCTTGCATGCAGGGCAGTAATTTCTGACAATCCGGAGAAATTACAACAGAGTAGAGGTGTACAGTAAAAGGTAATTTCCCTCAAATCCAGCTCCGCTCCTTTTGACTACACAAATACATCATGTTGGTTTTTTAGCTATAAAATGTAGGGTTTTGCACTCCTGGGATTTCTTGGTGGTCTCCCATCCTCGCACTAGTATTGATCAGTACTGCCCCTCCTTGATTAACTTGTACATATATGTGAACTACTGCAGCATTCCAGATGGGTTTACACATTGTTCTGAAGCATTATTTAGTTAACCATAGTTCGTTGGCTAGGTTTTCACACTGCACTAAGCCAAAATTATGATTTAAGAACTACAGTACCAGAGTTTACACCATATAGTAAAAACGAAATAACTATTTGGTGGCCCTGGACTCTGGCTGCTGCTTCTGAATGCCACGTCAGTATGTAATAAGTACAACTTAATTGTGGATGAGGCAGCCAACCTGGGGTATATAACCAAGACTCAGGTGTGTGGAAAGGGTTGCCCTTCTTGGAGATATTCTCACCTGGGTTTTGAGTCTGGCATCAGTTGTGACTCCAGAGCAGGGGGCTGGAGTGGCAGTTGTCATCTGGGAGACCTTGACAGCCTTCAAAGGCTCTGCTCCAGAAATAGTGTGATATGAGCCTCTCTGGTTGATGTTAGGTTCTAGGGAGCATCTGGGTTTGTTGTTGCTGTACTGGCCTCCCTGCTACACAGTGACTTCCCTGCCTAAGCTGCTAGACTCCATCATAGGGTTGGTGATGGAATCCCTCAAGGCTTGTGGTCTTCGGGGATTTTAATTTCCACCTGGGTGATATAATTTTGAGTCAGGGGCAGCTCATGAATTCATGTCCATCAGGGCGACCATGGACCTGACCCAAATCCAACACATATCAGAGATTGTACACTAGATCTTGTTTTTACCTCAGGGCAATTGGAGTGTGATCTGGGTGTGGAGGACATTACAGTCAGTCCACAGCCATGGTCAGATCACTCTCTGATTGCTTTTGCTTTTATTGTTCTTGTTGTCTTATTTGTATCATTAATTGTATTGTATCATTTAATTGTATCGTACCAACTCTGTAATGACTGTTTGCCACTCAGAGTCATTACTGAGTTGAGCAGCCTATAAATTTGTAAAATAAAAATATCAGCAAAGTGCAAGAGTATAAAATCTGAATGTAGTCTTTGACTGCCTCTGTCATCCAGACTTAATAGCATGAGAGAAAATCACCCTATAATACCAGGCTTTATAATTTCATAAACCTAAATGGTGAAAATTGGTCTTGATAATTTGGTAATTTTTGATGACCTCAGCAATTGAAGTTAGTTTATTGTTGGAGCACAAATGTAAGACTGAGATGGATTTAAAAAGTCCAAGGATAATACACTGTTATGAAAAGCTTTCAAAAACATCTCTTTGTTCTTTAAATTCTCACATCGTAACATGCAAGGAACGCTAACAACATTCGGCATTGCCATTCTTCTTGGGTGCAAAGCTTTGAAAGCCTACAGATTGAGGTGGTGGTGTTTTTTGATATTTTATGGCATAATTTTAGGAGATTCTTCCATTCCTGAAATAAATACAATCCTTTTCTCTTTTCTGTAGTGGCAGTAATTTAGTAATGAAAGTGAACGCCCTTCTTTCTTCTTTGCCAATAACTGATGACCGCCAAGACGTTGAATTTTTCAAAGACCAACACAGGTGAAAAACTTCGAAGTAGCTGTTCCTTATTATTTTCATGACAATTTAGTTGTATGAATAGTGGACAGGTAATTAGCAATCTATTCTGTTTGCAATATTTATTGCTGCCACCATTGGTACTACCACTGAAAAAAACAAGTGATTAACTTTATTTGGGGCATTTATACTCCACTTTTCAAAGAGAGATTCATAGAAAAAGGCTCACAAACAAATGACAAAGACTTTAAATACTAAACATATTTACACATACAAAAATAGTATAATCAAAATGAAGCCAATTAAGCTAAATTTATTTCAGGAAGACTGGAATGTGCATATGTAACTATATAGGAAAAATCAGTCTGCATTCTTAAAGGTCTGTTCCAAAAGTATAAGGCACAAATGGTATTCCATCATTAAGAAACTGTCACCGAGAAAGTTTTCCTCTTATTAGCCATTAGCTGAAAACAATTTGTCTAAGAAGTTAATCAGTGTAATAATTCAGCATTTAAAATAAATATTCTTGAAATCTCCTTGTATCACTATATTTATTTACAAAGTTTATTTGTGAGTGTCAGTTCTTAGATTGTCCAAAAATACAAAAGGGGAAACATCAGCCAGTTTGATCAGTTCTCAAGTTTGCTGAAATACAAGAATGGGTAGGAGGCAGCAGATACTTGAAACAGCTCAGGAGAACTGGGGTGATTTAGTGTCCATCAATAGGAATGAGGAGAGCTTGACTAGAATAGCAACCTTTTTCAAAGATTATCAAACTAAGCTGAAACTCTTACCTTTTAGTCTGTCCCAAACCCCAGCTTGATGCCCACCTGACATGCTAGCATATAGTTCCTATCATTGCCCAGTCATCAAGATTGAAACTGAAGACCATAAAGCAGAGAACCAAATGGTGCTGTTATTGAAGGATTTGGGAACAGGTAGAATTTGTGAGAACAGGTTCTCACAATGGATCTGAAGTACCCTTCCCTGCTTCAGATCTGAATACTTGCCCTCTTTAGGGAAAACTACTTCTAATGCATGTTTTTAATTGTTCATAATAAGTGGGCATAAACTATTACATAGCATATGTCTTTCTAGTGGAGCAGTTCACAACGTTAGTTTGTAGATGCCAGATGAAATGCATCCATTTGTTGAATCACAACATGTTCTATAAAATAGCTTATAATTGCATAAGATAATACAGGTAGTCCTTGCTTAACGACCATTTGTTTAGAGACCATTCAAAGTTATGATGGTGCTAAAGCTACTTACAACTGGTCCTCGCACGTATGACTGTTGCAGTGCCCCTGATGTCACGTGATCGTGATCTGGGTGCTTGGCAACCAGCTCACACTTACAATGGTTGCAGTATCCTGGGGTCACATGATCACCACTTCTGACCTTCTCAGCCAGCTTCTGGCAAGCAATATCAATGGGGAACTGAATGATTTGCTTAATGACCATGATGATTTGCTAAACGACCACCACAAAAATGTCGTAAAATTGGGTACGGTCACATGATATTTTGCTTAACAACTGCCCTGCTTAACAATGAGTTTTCCGATCCCTATTGTGGTCATTAAGTGAGGACTACCTGTACAGTATATTTCCTGTGAACATTACATCTTCAAGTCATACATACGTTTAAGACTTTTTGTTCAATGTTTAATGTGTCTCTCCTTTGCCTTCCCTATGTAGCATACTGAAGATAAATCCAGAGCAAAATGAACCCTACTTTGATTTAATTGGTATTGTTGATCCACTAACAAGAGAAGCCCAGAAGTTATCACATTTATTGATTGTGAGAGCATACTGATATCTTGTGCATTAAGCCAATTTGATAGTGGTTTCTATACAATGTAACTGCTTTATTTAAGATCTTCCTTGAAATGGTAATTATCTACTCTGAATTGTACGCATGATGAGATGAGAGATCCAGGTTGAAATTTATAGGGGGTTACTTTGGTATCCTCAGTAACCAGAGATGAAAAACAGAGTGAAAAAAATATAAATATAAAGAATAAACAAATGGCAACAATCAGCTTTAGCATGAAGAAGCAGGATAGAAAGAGTATTGGCACTTTTGAACTTTGATGTTGAAGAAGACTCCTGAGAATACCATGGATAACCAGGAAAACAAGCGAGTGGATCACCGATCATCAATCCAGAGTTCTCACTTAAGGTAGAAATGATCAGGCTCAAGTCATATTTTGGACACAGCACAAAGATCTAGTTCTCTGGAGAAATTTATAACGTTGGCAAAGGTGGAATAAAAGAAGAAAAGAATTACCAACAGGATAGTTGATGGATTCAGTTGCATGAAGGGCCAAGTTGGGGACATTCCTGGAGAAACTCTGTCTATGACAAAGAGTTTAATGGCACAGAAATAATCAATCTGTTGATAATCTTGGCACCAACGTGATAGCAAATTACAATTCAATGGTCCTCCAGAATAGTTTCACTTTAACTACCTTCTGAAAAGATGCCAGAATCACTTGAGTGGATCTTGATCACAGGGCCTTCAGAGGAAGACTACACGTTTAATGACGTCCAGATCCATATCAGCAGAACATAAAGGGCATAGCTCAATTTCATAGCAGACTGGCTGAGTTGGCAGTGTCTGTCAGTGGAGAATAGGTCCTTCATCCAATACATCTGGAACAGTGAACAATAAACAAGGCACTTCTTTTGATTTTTAAGATAACAGAACACAAAGCAACCAATGCCATGGTGGCACTATGAGCAAAAGACAGCTGTATGCATTTCTGCTCTTTCCAGTGCTCTTCAGGGTGGTGCACAAAGTAGCACCTAAATGCACACTTGACTCTGATTGCCCCATTTTAGCTTCAGGGGGCCATGGTTCTCATCATTAGTGGAGATGAAAAAGGAACACCTGTAGTACTTCTCCAAACTTCTAGGCATTCTGTCCCGAGTTCCAATGATACATCTAGTCCATAGCTGCTATAACGATGTGCCTGAGATTGAACAGAGCAATTTCTGAACATGAATCTTCTAGGTTCAGGTGTAAAACTATCTTGACCAAAGACATCCAACCACCAGCAGTTCTTAGAATTGATTTGATACAACTGTGAATGGTGGTACATATACAAAAACTAGTGTCACAAGCAACAGCTCTGTCTCCAGGGACCAATAATGAAGTTGGACTTACCTTGAAGTACCTTTCACCCAATAGTCTGATCCTAGGATTAAAAATAGAAACTAATTTGCCTAAGAATCAGGATGCTGATTATTTTGCTGCATTGTACTAACTTGCACATTCATTCATTCAGTTTCTAAGGTTGTCCACTTGTTAAGCAACTTTAGGCACCTTGTAAATGTGAGGTTTGCCCCGTTCGACAGAGAAACTCCCGTGACATGTGTGGTTCAAAAAAGAGGTTTACTCTTGCGTAACGTGGCAGTCACAAGCAAAGCCAGGACTGGCTTGGTACAATTGCAT